GCGATCTCTCTTATCTTCGAATAAGCGCAGACACGATCTAGAGTCAAGCCCTAAGCGTCGAGATGATGATGATCTTGGTAATACGCGGAGTATGTGGATGAAGACAGATGATGAAGCATGCCAGACAAGGTAGGTGTCGGCGAAACCATTCACCGAGACGCCAAAGAATGTCGCGCTCCCCACCACCCCACCATCGTTTGGTCGATCTCACAGCAAAGTACCCACGGTCTCTACCTTGCCTCGTGTCCTCCACTCCCTACCTACTTTGTTCTGCGACACCCTACACCGTCACAATGAGCGACGTGACGCCTACACCCGAACCAGAAACTCTCGACGCGCTACAATCTCGGCATCGCAAAGAGCAACGCGACCTCGTATCCCGTATAACACAAAAGAAGAAACAAGCGAGCAAAAAGACACGGAAGGGTGTCAACGATGAGTGCGAACGACTTGAACGCGAATTGAAAGAGCGGCAGGCGCACGAACTCGCTGTGCAGAATGGAGTGGCTGTGGATGCGGAGGAGCAAGCAGAGGATACACAGAGCTCTGGGGATGAAGCGCAGGATATTCAAGAAGACATGTCCAATCTCAGGGTTGATGGTGCTGGTTCGGATAGCAAAGACAGCAGCACCAATGGCGACTCCACCGAGCCCAAGAAAAAGAAGCCGAACCGTGCCAAAGCCCGCCTCGCCCGTCGCGCCGCCGAACAAGCCTCCATCATCGCAGAAGCAGAGCGCGAAGCAGCCAACGCGCCGAACCCACGCGAACTAGAACGAGAACGCATGGCGACACAATTACAAAAACACGGGCTGGCGCTGCACGAGATACGCGCGGATGGTCATTGTCTATACGCTGCAGTCGCGGACCAACTGCAGACACGGGAGTTGGGCTTGAAGCCGAGGATAGGTGTCACCATCAATGGGCAGGGAGACCAAGGACCGGACGCTAAGCCCGAGGCATATAAGACGGTCCGGCACGCAGCAGCAGACTGGATCCAAGGCCACGCCGACGACTTTTCGGGCTTCATGGAAGACCCGTTGCCGGAGCATGTGCGCAAGATTAGAGAGACAGGCGAATGGGGTGGCCATCTGGAACTGCTTGCATTGGCTCGGACATATGGTCTAAGGATATGCGTGCTGCACAGCGATGGGCAGGTGGACAAGATAGAGGCCGAGGACGAGGCCAAAGAGAAGGAAGAAATCTGGCTGGGATACTACAAGCACAGTCACGGTCTAGGCGAGCATTACAACTCGCTACGCAAGGTTGGATGAGGCTGAGAGCGGTAATGCAGATACTGGCATTCACACAACGGCTACGCTCAATGCCATCTCTGCTCCTCCGGACAATCTACCTTGTGTCGCCACATACTCACGCAGTCTCGCACGAGACCTTTGATCACGCCAGCATCGTGGGTCCTCCTGGGCGTATAGTGCGCGATCTTGACCAGCGCGTTGTCCGTCTCCTCTCTATCCGTCTTTATCACCACGCCCTGATCGTCATACGAGATATCCTCACCTGGCTGCTTGAGCAGCTCAGTGTGTACAAGCGGCGGAAGCGACCACGGAGGGCCGCCGGAGGATGCGGGCTTATGTGTTGGAAACTCGAGACAGATGAGGACACCACCCGTAGACGGAGAGTTCGCGGTCGGGCGGCGGAGAAGCGTGGTCATTCGAGATGCCCACTTTGGCCTTAGCGACAGAGGGAGCGCGCAGAGGAACTACTCATCGCATCAGTACAGAACACCAGGCAATGTTCACGAGGCACGTCTGGGACTCTGCTCACCGTAATGTCGTAGATAATGTCAAATCCTTCATCACCCTCCCATCCCTCTACATCTGCCAACCAGCCATCCTCAAAGAAATCCCCACATACAACATTCATCGTCCCTTTACCGATCTTCTCATCCGCCACCTTGTATTCTCCTTCCAACGGGCCCTTGCCAGCGTCCTTTAGATAACCCCTCGCAGCCTCAGCAGCATGCGAGGACACCTCCAGCCCATAGGCGTCATATCCATGCGCCGCGAAGAGCGCTACATCGTATCCCTTTCCACATCCCGGCACAAGCACCCTCCTCCTCTTCTTATCGTCTCGTAAAGGTCCAGCGAGTGACGCATAACCCGCCGATTCGCTGTTTGGTGGTGGTGCGCCGAGAGAAGGATTTGGGTCTGGGGACGACAATGGGCGACCACGCTCTTGCAGCAGGTCAATCAATGCGGGGTTCGCATGACCGCGATCCCAAGGTAGGAATGTAGAATCTCTCCATAGGTCGTCCCAGCGGTTGTTGTGTTCTTTGTCGGGAGTCGAGGAGAAGTGTGTTCGGAGCCGGTCTTGGTTCTGGGTTGCCATGACGTGGGCAATCAGATTGTGGTATATGGCGAGGTCGATTGGGTTCGTATTGAAGGCCAATGGCTTGATAGTGTCGTGGGATAGCTCTCGACGATGACGGAATGAGGAAGCCGAGGCCACGATGGGCCCTTCCAAGCCATTTTGAGCTAACCCATCTTTACCCCGCCAAAACTTGCTCGTGCGACAACGCCAGATGTGACGATAACGGCCTTGCAGATGCGATCGGATCTTGCGCTGTCAACCTCAAGGGTGTTTGCACTTCGCTGGCAGATGCACACACATAAGCATCCAACGGGCTGACTTCGCTGCGGCCCCACGACAGATACGACAGATCTACACCTGGCACATCCCGTGCCGTGAAGCTCCAATTACCCGGATCGCAAGCATGCTTCCTACTGGGCCCACCCTTGCTTCGGATATAATTAATGCGATTTGTTTCCGCATGGCAAACCGCCTGTCTCGGCAGTCACTTCTGCTTAGTTATCCCTCAACAACTGCGTTTCGCTGGGTTTCGTCTGGAGTCATGGCCTGGTTTGACTTTTCTTCGCCCACATTCCCCGTGTTGAGGACACGCTGCGGTGTACATAGCGTACAGGTACGCGTTGATAGTATGCTGAAGAGCTAGAGATAGCGGCTGTCGACAACCGAGGTATTACGACGCATACGGAAAAGAGCAGGTGCACGCGGAAATCAATGCAAGCTGTCGATTGACATAACCTTGTGAAGATCGGGTCGTTGCGTTACTTGGCTTTCTTTCTTTCTTGTCGTTTTTGCAACGGGCAATGATGGCAGACGACGAGAAGGCAAGATCGCCTTCCGGGATGTTGAAACAGGAGAATGTGCCGGACCGAGGCATCGAAGAAGAGACGAAATTAGAACAGGAAGAAATATCGGAAAAAGATATGTTAGAAACAAGCAACCAAGGGAACGACGACACAATGTCAATTTCGTCATCACGAGCGTCAACGGCTTCAACGCACTCCACCAATGCCGACCAGCCGAGAACATCGAATACGAAACAACGTCCAGTCACTCTGGCAAGAACCACCTCGGTTCTACCCGATGCCGTTATTGTTCCACGATCACAGCGCCGTGGACTCCTTGCACGCTTCGCGCTCATCCCAGAGGTTGAGAACCCAGAACACTATGCGCGGCAAACGAAATGGCTTCTCACATTCATTGTCGCCTTCTGTGCCATGGCAGCACCTATGGGTAGCGCGATCGTTATGCCAGTGTTGCAAGAGATCAGCGTAGCTTTCAATGCAACGGAGACAGTAACCAACATGAGCGTTGCTGTGTACATGCTTAGCATGTCAATTTTCCCGCTGTGGTGGAGCTCCTTCTCTGAACGATTGGGTAGACGTACGATATACATCACCTCGTTCATACTCTTCGTATTGTTCGCTATTCTCTCTGCGATCAGCACAAGCATCGCTATGCTGATCGTCTTCCGCGTCCTGTCTGGTGGTGCAGCGGCATCGGTACAGGCTGTAGGCGCAGGGACTATCGCCGATGTCTGGGAAACGAAAGAGCGCGGACGAGCGATGGGCATCTTCTACCTTGGACCGCTCTGCGGACCTCTCTTCGCGCCCATCATCGGTGGTGCTTTAGGGTCAGGGCTAGGGTGGCGATCAACACAGTGGTTTTTGGTCATATATGGTGGGCTGACCCTGATCTTCATCATATTCGCTCTTCCGGAGACCCTGCATCGAAAAGAGAAACCCTCCGCGGACCCAACAGCCCTACCCAACAACGATGCCGGGAAAGAGCAAAGTACAACCCTCGGAAGAAGCACCACACGTGCCTCCACTGTCCAGAAGACTAAGAGTATATTACTACATCTACGCCACATCTTCATCGATCCACTGCGCATCATAGCATGGCTCCGCTTCCCGCCCGTCTTCCTAACCGTCTATTACGCCAGCATAACGTTCGGCTGCCTCTACATCCTCAACATCAGCATCCAATCCACCTTCGCCGCACAACCCTACTCCTTCTCCACCCTCATAATCGGCCTACTTTACATCCCCAACTCCGTCGGCTACCTCCTCGCCTCACTGTTCGGCGGCAAATGGATCGACAGCATCATGCACCGCGAAGCCAGAAAAGCAGGCCGCTACGACGACAGAGGCAAACTGATCTTCCGTCCTGAAGATCGGATGAAGGAGAATGCGTGGATTGCTGCTATTCTCTGGCCTTCCGCTCTTATCGTCTATGGCTGGACGGCGGAGAAAGGGATTCACTGGATCGTGCCGATGATTAGTAACTTCTTCTTTGGCATTGGCAGTATGCTTATCTTCGCGTTGGTTAATACCATGCTCACGGAGTTCATGCCTAGACGCGCTGCGTCTGGAATTGCACTGAACAACTTTGTGCGAAATATCTTCTCTTTCACCGGCGCGGTAGTTGCGGAGCCGATATTGAGTGCAATAGGGAACGGGTGGTTGATGACGATTCTGGGCATCTGGAGTGTGGTTACGGGGTGTATGGCGCTCTATGCGATGGGCAGATGGGGCGAGAAGTGGAGGGAAGCCATGGTTAAGGTTTTGGGGTGATGAACCAGGATCTGTGAATGATTGTTTCGTAGTTTGATGAGAAGTATCGTTCAGCATACTAGATGGTAGGCGATGTGATCGCGATAAAGATATCGAATCTCACACCACAAACGACGCCTCAACAAGAACTTCGTCTTCCTCGTCCAGCTCGCGCTTGATCTTCTCAGACTCGTCCAATATTGTCCGTTCGATCGCCGCGTATGCGGAGCCATAGACAAGCCGCCGGTCGCCATTGTCGCTCACCGTACGCTGTAAGATGTGTGTCTCATTCGCCAGTCGCGACACACTGCCCATTGCTCGGCGCCGTTGCGGAAATTGGTTTCACCCAAGTCACCAGAGCTCGCCGAACCAGCTTTTGCGATGTTGAAGCCCCGGCCGGTGTAATAGGATCCTCCACCCATTCGGCAGAAGAGTTCCTCGCTCAGCCGATACTCCATTTCGTCCGCCACATGGCAGATTGTGTAGCTTTTGGTTTCGTAGCTGCGTGTTATCGATCCTTCAGACTTCAGATACTTGCCGACGTTGGTGACAGCGCCATGATGCAATTGGTAGACTTTTGCGAAGCATGCTGGTTCATGCGGCGGTGAGGGTGGCTGGTGACCCCAAAATACTTGAAGGGATTGTTCACGACCGACTGGCTACTGCCACTGTCAGGGTTGTGTTGGAGCAGATTTCGATCTACCGCCTCGCAAAACGTTTCAATGCGCTCGGCACGAATCTGGCGCCCAAGGTAGCGGTGACGACCTTGCTTGATCTCAGCAGCGCTGGTGTGTCTACGAGTCTGGCTGTCGATGGTGGCGTTCTGTTGGGCTGATCGGGGGTCTCCGGAGATGTGCAGGCGTGGGTGGTCGATGATCAGCTCAATGTCCTGCTGGCTGGGAGGGTTGCCCTGCTTGTCGACATATGCGCGCATGTAAAGCGTGGGCACAAACTTATCAGAGAGCTCGCTGTCTCGCTGGGCCCACGGAGGCTGGTCTGCAAACGGTATGCTCTTGTCATCATGCAAATTGACCTATGGCAACAGCGGAAGTGACAAACCTCCAACCGTATTTGCTTTGCTAGTAGAATTCGCTCGTGCGCCCCAGAGCCGTGGCTTCCCCAAACGGTCTCAATGCCGAAGGAGCTTTGCGTTCGAGGATTGATCAATCTCCTCAGCCTGGAATCCCCCGTTCCAACCCTGGGTAACAACTCCGCTACCATTACGATTTGTGGGGCCGATTACGGGGGCGCACCATGAGCGATCATAAGAGACAACGAAGCAACAAGTCGGGTCTCTTCCGACCACGCTCAACCCGCCGCGCAAAATCACTAGAATCTTCTAGCTTGTACTGGTCACGGCACGACGCAACTACTTCACAAGCCCATCGGAACCAGCTGCGGCGTCTCGCGCAATCTCCAGACAACCCCCTCCTCCATCTAATCACCATGACGCCGTTTCCTCTTCTAGATACGAGATCATCCTATCGCGTAAGCTCTCCCGGCACGCCACGACTGTCAGTACACACAACTCGGCATCAAGGCTTCCGCGAGTGGCTAGCCGGCGGCCTTATGCTTGAAGTTCACCAGATACTGCGGAAAGCCTCGGTTCGCTACTACGATGTCGAAGTAGTCATCCGAAACCCGTTCAAGACACTACACCCGGTCCGGACAGCGAGTACAACAAGATTGTAATTATTTTAGCGGATATCTCGGTAGCAGATGCCCACGCCAACTGGGCCATCGCCGCACGAACGATTCTAGAGCGGTTGATAGCCCTGGGGCGCGACGACATAAACGTCGAGATCTTGGACGTCGAAGCCGCCTGGGAGTTCAATAACGCCGTCGTCTTCGACAACGAAACAGCACAAGCGTGGCATGACGTCCACAAACACGGCACCATTCGATGAGGTCAGTCTAGGTAGATATACGGTAGAAGATAGCTCATGATGATAGAGCTGATGTCATCTATAGGCTCATTCTCCATCATCAAGTCGAACTTGCGCATGATTTTCACATCAGCTCGACGACGGACAGTCGAGCCATGAGAACTGTAGGTCATTAGACAACTTCACTGGTTGTCTATGCGACTAGATATACAGGGCACCTTCAGTGTGCTTTCAAGTTCGGGTATATGTCGAAGCTACATAAAACAAAAAAAAACATGTTTTAGGCCTGAAGCATACGTTGTCTCAAACATCACTCACTTGTTGACATCTGATGCTTTGTATGCGGCAACCTCGTATCAACCCACTAAATCCGTCATCTTCGATTGACTCAACGATCTCTCAATTCATTGTACGTTAACACACGAAAGGCAGCGCAAGGCATTCCCTCCGCGATTCGCTCCGTCCCTGACTAGATCGTCTCAGTTAAAGGGAGAACACCACGAAGCTCCTTAAGGCAGTCTTCCATTTCTGACTTCCATCTGCTTTGTGTAAACATGAGCAGCATGAGGACATTTTTGCGAAAGGTTGATATCTCGCGATTATCGGCAGTGGTTGCGAAAGTAGCGACCCGGTGATCCAACATCATCTGCATCTTCTGCTCGGGACTTTGGTTGTCGAATTCCTGCAGGAGTTCTTGATCAAGGTCCTTTCCTTGCTCTTTGTATGCGTCGATGAAGGAACTGATTGTTCTCTCCGCTGGCTCCAGATAAAGCTCAGCCGCCTGGATTAGCATGCTGCCGTACCAATCATCTGCTGCTACCAGCATCTCGTAACGTTGCGTGATTTCCAACTCTTCATTCTTCAAAATGGAGTCGGTGTACTTGGGTAGTCCTTTCAATTCGGTAATAGCCTCTTGGAGGAGGACAGAGGCGGCCCGCGCCTTCCTGGCTGGTGGAACGGTTATATGAACTAGCGCAGTGGTACCCTCTGGGGCGGCGGAAGACTGGTTATTTAGTTTCATCGTCCACTCCTCAAAGGAACCCAGGGGCCCAATATCGTCGAGACTGGTCACGTTGGCCTTTGTTGTAAGTTAGATCGTGGTAATGCATTCGGGAAGCATACCTTACGTAGATGTTCTCTGATTTGATGTCTAAGAGACCCTGGGCAACCATTCTGTCCAACTCCTCCTTCTGGTTGGCCAACTTTCCCACAAACTGAGTCACTTCATCCGCACGTTCCTTCTGGCTTGCTGACCTTCGTTGGAACTTCCCTTTGATATCGTTTCCAGTCATGCTAGTGGCGTCGTAGTATTGGCTCGGTTGCACGTTGGTTCAGAGCGGACTTCGGGAGTGTGAATCAGGTCAGGCTCTGTGCAGGAGAAAATCGCAAGCTTTATTCCAATCGCGTGCTTGATGTCCATTGTTTGTGGGTTGGGCACTGGGACCGTCGCGTTCAAGCGCTCCTCGATTGTCTGGTTGTTCATGCTAGATCAGTGATCACCGGCTGAGTTAGAGTAAAGCACACCTGTGCGGTGGCAGTCTGCATGGTACTGATAGCTGCGCCAACACTTGCTCTGGGTTTGATGGGACTGTGACTGTTTACGTCCATACATAGCTACAGCTTACATCGTAACTGCTGATGGAGACGATGCGACTGGGGTACCCATACTCTGACAAAGTTTGCGATGGTTCTACAGATGTACCAAATAGCGTGCAAGGCGATATAACATCAGTCAAAGGTGTCGACGACGCGACGATCAGGGCGCACTCTGGTCTAACTTCGTCTGGAGACATCAGGCTCAGAGCCAGAGTCATCCTTGACAACGTAACGAGCAGGGCGCACTCTGGTGGTCAAATCCGGATGCGGGAACGACTGCGGCACATGGTAAGGTGTCGAGAAGATTGGAGGGTATGGCGTCATGTAGGCGGGGGCGTTGTAGCCATAGACACCTCCTTGAGGCACTGGGGAGCCATATGCCATATCCATTGGTGTCTGCTGATACCCGTACTGCATAAACGGGGGACACCGAGGACTCTGAATTGTCATTGGAGGATAGTAACCGATTTCTGTCTGCGCAATGACAGTCCCGTCGGGCAACCTCACTACTTGTTGCATCCGCGTAGATGCTTCGATACCTTGAGTGTCGGGACGGGTGTTGTAGCGGGGCACAAACTTCTAGTTCTTCATCTGAGCTTTCTGCCAGGCGCGCAGGCAGGCGCGTAGGAGAGATAGCGTTGGACATGGGGGTTGTGGCTGGTCAATATTAGATAGTGACACAGGTGACCGAAGTAAGGGTTATGCTACTTACCAGACATGTGACCCTATCTATGAGAGAAGCGCGTGAATACATACCTAAATTAGAGACAAGGCTGATACAATAGCGCGATGCGATGATTGAAACCAGAATACACCAGCTCGACGACATTACGCATTTGCTGCTTCTGCGCTACTTCCCTACGTATGTTGATTCCACGCGCAAGTCATAGAGAGAGAAGAAGAAGAGTAAGCTGTCTAGGCCGCGATCATCTCAACCGCGTCGAGACTGATACTGGGACTCAAATAACCCGTAGACGTCTTTCCAGAAATGACAGAGATCTTCAGTATCTGGTACTCCCTCGCGCTCTTCACCCACGCACTTGCCGGCACACTGTACTCATAAACGTAGTTGTTGCCGCGGTACGTTCCAACAGTCAGACTTCTGGTATCGCCCTGGCCCTTATCGGACTGTAAGGTAGCGGTCCAGCTGTTCACGGCAATAGCCGGTCTTCCACCAGACATGCCCTCTGTGACACCGATTCTGATCTTTGCGCCATTGGTTAGTTGCGCATCGCTGAGGCGGAAGTAGACGAGGTGGTCGTTATTGATGTCTTTCCACATGTAGCCGGGGAAGTTGGCAGCGGAGCTGGTACCCACAATATAGTTGCTAGCATCCCATTTGGCGAGGCGCGAATCAGATGGGTGCATGTAGGTAGGCTTCATGGGGCTGTCGCCGAAGTTCAGGAAACCCTTAGGCGTGCCGTCCCATTCGCCAATTCGCCACATGACAGCCGTGTCCGACGGGTCGTTGCAAGTGATCGTGTTCAGCGCTGCGGTGCCTCCAGCAGTGACGGTAACAGTGCTAGTGTGAACCTCGAGTTCCTGCAAGATCGGGTGAGTTCACGTCAGAACAAAGTGCTGATGTATGGCTTCACTTACACCCTTGTATACAGTCAAAGTGTACGAGCCTGGTAGAATCTTGCTGATTCTCCAAGAGCTGGATGATGCAATTGTCCAGTATTGCGCCTGGGCACTCTTCAGACCGACAACATACTGGTAACCGTTCTTTACGTTGGCCAAACCAACACCAGCGACGGCACCACGTTGACTAGCCGGAACCCAGCCATCGATTCCAAGGGAGTCCATCCAGTCCCAGTTAGCGTTGCGAGCGAAGAGTGCGGTGCTCGGTGCAGCACCGCTATCCGTGAAGTGGAGGACGGAGGGACCTTGCAGGCCAAAGCGCATCACATCAGTATGACCTGTAGCACATTAGCAGATGATTTAGTCTAGGCCGAGAGTGACTTCACGTACCCATGTTGTAGTGGTAGATATCATAGAGATCCGGGCCACCACTACCTCCGCGGCGCACCAAACTTCGGAAGAAAGGCCCGCCCGACGCCTTCTCGTGATTCGACCTAATCATATACATGCCGACGTTTCGATTGGTGTATCCAACCCAGTCGTAATCCATAGTGCGTCCATACAGCTTGCCCGAGTAATGTTTGGACCATGTCTGACCGTTGAGCCCATTGATGTCACCAGACTCGATGGCAGTCGCGCCATCTGGAACCCAGTCCGTGTCTTCGTTGATGTTGTTGGTAAAGATGTTTGGCGGGATGCGAAGGATGTATCGCGACACAGTGATGCTGCTGTCTTTCTTGTTCATGAAGATATAGACGTTGGGGTTGCCATAGCGGAAGACAAGAGTGTGAACGAGCGTTCCTACTTTCATCGTCACCTTGATGACGTTGGTGTATTGCTGGATGGTGACGGTGCCGGGTGCGAGGCCAGATTCCACCTGCGAATTCTTCCCATTCTGGCCGTTGTACTCAACGCCACGGTACTTGATCGAAGTCATGTCGGCGTTTGACTTGCTGACCTTGACGACTAGGTTCGCGTTCGTATCGATAACATAGTTTTTGCCGTCATCGGTGTAGCCCCAAGCTGCAAAAACAGCCGTAGGGGCCAGAAGCAGAGCAGTGACGGTCGCTAAGAACCGCATCTTGAAGGCTGACTGATGGAAGACAGCGAGCTGGAAACCTCATGTGGATCCATTGTACAAGACGGCTTTATAGCAATGTATTTGCTTTCCCACGTGTGTGCGCAGATGGTTACTACACACCATCACAATACCATCTTTCCCGGTGGTAGTATTGTAGACTCCTCGTTAGTTTCCCAGATTGAGCGTGCTCCGCCATCAGGATAGAGCACCTACGCCTTGCGGAGTAGTGCTTTGTGCTGATTGTACAGGAACCGAGCATGGGTATATATCTGGCCAGCGTTTGTAGTACTACTCCGAGCCTAGCCCGTCCGTCTAGTACCCGCGTGCGCACCATATCATTGGTGGGGCTGGCTTTCGGTGTTTCGAAGCAAATCCGGGGAAATTCTTGAAATTAAGAAGGAAGCTTGGTAGGCATTAGCACCGCCGAGCGCACAAGTGAGACAGGCCATCATGAGCCATCGTAGAGGTGCGGATAAACTTTGTGCAGAGGTGAAGCGGGGACCATGATGTGGATTGAAAATGGATGGGCTTGCAGGAGTAATGGATTGAGGGCGAAAGGGAAGGGCTATTTCGCGGGCCGAGGTTACGCCGATTGGTGAAGTTTGCAGAGCCAGACCCCGTGCCTTTGTGACTCCTCCCCTCATGATAGGCACATGCCGTCGTGATGCACAAGTTCAACGTTTCCTTCTCGACACAACTTGTACAAGTCCACGCCGAACATGACGCTACATGTTCTTGAACGATAAGATAAGAAGGTTTCGACAGATGCTTTGGGCCACACATGTCTGAAACTTTCAGGCGTCCAGGCACATGCCCGCTGTGTGCTGGCGATCCTGTCGTAATCTACGAATGCCATGCTTTTTCTTCGGCGCGAAGTCAAATATGGTTTGCATCCGAACAAGTTTGGCTTTTTGTGTCAATTGTGTCAATACGTACGAGGAAGCTTGGTTTTGAGCGCCACAAGGTTTACTTTGTCGCCGTCAAACATGCCATCTCATCGCAGCTCGGAACGCATTCCCAGCCTGACACTCAGGCAAGCACGCCGTTGACGTCCAACAAACTCCAAGTTGTCAGCGTTGATCCTACAGGAGTCCACAGAATAAGGCGTCGTGACTCACTTCTCATGCATACGCGTCAGTAGCAAGTCCTTCCGGCCGTCAGGCTGATTCTTGACCCTGTCAATCTCCTGCTGTGACAGCGGCTCTGGTAGAGTCCCTGCATTCTGCTCAAGCCACATCTCTTTGGGCGTCTTGCTACCGTCGGCGAATACTAAGTTCATCATTTGCGCCTTGAAGTCTTATGTAAAGCAGTTCAGAAAAGCTTCGATGAAGTCAAGTGTACTGAAATGACACAGTAGATAGGATGCTTACTGGGTCCTTCTGCTGAGAGCACTTTGCGATCTGCAGTCGGCGAGCGTAGAACGCCGTCGTTACGTAGAAATGTGATGCAAAGTATATCATTCTTGAAGCTGCGCGTAACATCTTGTTGGAGTGGATCACTGGTGTCGTATGATGACACGCATTTTGGGGCCGATGGTTGTTCTTCAGTGTTTGAGTCGGTCATGATGTTCAAGGTGAAGATGAAGGAAAGAACTTTTGATCGATTTCGGGGTATAGAAAACATAAAAGGGTATGATGCCATGACGCCGCCCGTAGCTACTGGAGATGAGCGTGGTTGGTCACTGGGCGGCCATGCGCTTACAAACAGATTGTCCTCCCTAGAAAACATTACAAGTAAATGAGCGCTGCGCCCTGTTACAATCATAAATAGCCATGTCCAAGATGGCATACAGCTCGAACGTGAAGTGCAGGACGTAAGCACTAAGCGCAGGATGCGCATTCGCCCCAAACATTATCAATTCGTCGTTATGACATCCGAGGCGCCCTGTCGATGGACATGCGAGCAGCTGCGATATCCATAGACATGCGGGGAGCGCGGCTGTCAATGGAGTGCCTTGACAGCTGGTAGCTCATGCGCCAGTCAAGCGGCAGGCGACCTTCGTTTGTGGTACGTCGAGAAGCGTGGCCGATAACGACGTGCATCTCGAACTTGTCCAATCCAGTCTTTTGCAAGTACGCTTCGTATCCCTCAGACTTGGAGGCCCGCTTCATCCACTCCTCACTCACGGCCGATGGGTAGACTACGCGCAGCAGGGGCTCGGCACCACGGAATCGGTAGTATTGTCGGATGTCGTCGTGGGGAAACAGGTGCAAGTCGATCCTCTTCATCGGCCCGTTGACTGCGGTAAGCCAGCTTTGGTTGCTGTTGGCAGGGTTTGGTAGCAGCTTGTTGAGCTCGCCAACGATCTCAGAGATGCTGCGGAAGACAACTCCCTCAGTGGAGGTGAAGCGACAGTCGGTGCGACGAGTTCGGACAAGGCACCGGATGAGCGGCAACAGGTCAATGGGCTCCATGTCGAAGCACGCAGCATCGATGTCCAAAGAGACATGGCCCTTGAGCGAGTCAATCTTGACCAGGTTCGACTTCTGGCTCCACAGGTCGATGATGTAGTGTGCCTTCTCCGCGTATATCGGTAGGAACTCCTCGCGAAGCTGGTGGCATACCTGCGTAAGGTTGTAATATTGTCTCCGCTTGGTCGGGGTGGCTTCGCCTTCGCGTTGGACCAGTGCTGGATCATCGTGACGGCACATCCTGATGGGCACCTCCTCGCTCATACGCTCATAGATGCGGTTTCTGATCTCTGTGTTGCATTAGCGCTTATACATGTATATAGACTAGGCGGTAACATACCTGGCGGCATGTCAAGGAAGCAAAGTGGTGCGGTCTTCTTGGGTGTCGCGACGTCTTCAACAACATCGTCAACCTCGGAACTGGTGGATGCGACTTCATCGATAGCCAGTTCTGGTGTTGCGTCGTGTACAGACGGGGTACTCGGTTCGGGTTGCTGCTCGGGGGTGATCGCACGGGTTTCTGGTTCAGGTGTCGCACATCGCACAGGTGCAGCGGCGACAGTGTCGCGGACTTCAGGCTCTACTTGTGTATAGGCGACGGGAGTCGAGTTCCATGGCTCCTGTTCAGGGGTGGCGCAGCGAACCGGCGGGGTGACAGCGCGAACATGTTCTTCGTCGTGCTTTTGTTCGAGTTCATGCCTGGGCTCCTGCTCCTCGGCTACTGACGACGTATCTTGCTTTGTGGCGGAGGTAGCTGTGACTAGGACCCTCTGTTCGACCATCCATCCTGCACTCGGTTTCGACTTCTCCGAAATTACAGCCAGCTCGACATCATCGTTCCTGCTGCCGCGACTCTCAGCACCAGACCGTACACTTGCGCTCACTGGATTCGCGACGCGCTCGAAACGGTCTTCATTGGGCGCGGGGATGTCGTTCGGCTTCTCAATCGTGGGGTGAAGGGTGGTTGCAGTAGTTCCATGCGCGTCGCTGGGCTCGGGCGTCGCGTCGTTTGTTTCAAGCGGCTCTGTTGACGTCTCACGCGTCCGTCTCGCCCGACCACAACTGAAAAGGTCGCCCAAAAACGACATGGCTGCTCTTCCACACCACCACGGCGAGTGCGTGGGTATTAGGAATAAGTACTGTGGGCAAGTCGCACAAAAGTAAAGAGACCGGCACAACCGTCTATTGGGGCACCTGCTAGCTCATATGTTTCTTCAGTCAGGATTGCGGCATCGAGTGAGAACAAAGGCTAAACCCTTTCAATGGTCGATGAAACGCATTGGGCGAATGAAGTCGTCGGTAAGATTGCTATCACACTGAGATGACCGGGGTGGGGCACGTGCTTTACCCCTGATCAGCGCCTTCGATCCCCACTTTCGATGAGGCTTATCTTATCTGCACTGGAGCGGCAGATTCACAATTCCAGCGCCTGGCATCATGCCCGCATCTTGTCCAGCCTGCCGGTAGTCGCCGGGACGGTGCGCGCAGGTGATGTGTCTGGCGCAACTTACATGTCGATTAAGGTTGCCATGAAAGTTTGTCTGTGACCCGTTCACACGCGGTCAATGGGCTCATCTCGGACTAGCGAAAATCGCCGAAGAAAAAGCTTCGGTCACTTGAGCGTCCATGGCGGAATTATTTGATTCTCTATACCTTTATTGTCTAACGCAAAGCTCTTCGGGTACGTGCATGCTTGACCAGACATCGCAGCCTAACGATTTGCGGAAATGTCCAACGCGCGACGTCATTGCCAACCACGATCCACCACCACGGGAACTGTCAGGCCGGAGCACCTCATCAAATATTCTCGGGCCATCTTCGATATGCGACATACATACGGGAAAATGAATATACGATACCAGACGATCAACAAATACTGGCAGGCCACGATCCACCGGGACTAAAGACGATCTGCAACGATTGGACCCATCTGCAGGGCAGCAGCTCCCTTCTCAACGTCTCCCAGCATTTTGGCGTTCTCACGCATCTTGCAGTACGTCCAAGCCGCCACCTGGAGCGCCAGTAACCCGGTCAAGATCTCCGAGTTGTTGATGTACGTAGTGTATGGCGCGCCTTCATTGTGTGGGTGATAGTATCGGAGGCACAAGACGCGTACCGCGTTCTCGAAGAGGTGGTAGTAGGCTAGTCGAATGATCGCGTCCTGGGTTGATACCAATTCTGTCGTATTCCAGATCATCGTCCAGTCGAATCGAGGCTTGACGATACCGTTGCGGTCGGTTGCTGCGGGATCACCAGACACGCCTTCCCAAACATTGTCGAGGAATGTTCCCAAAGACGTACATTCCCAAGCACGAAGATCAATGAATTCTGTAAGGACGAGGATGTTCAAAGGTGATATGGCAAGCCAGGGAATAATCCAGTCTAGAGATTGCAGCTTCAAATGCAGCATACATGAGAATATGGCTAAAAATCGCACGATGAGGCTGGTAGCTAAGAGGCAGTGAAGAAGCTGGTGCTTCGTTTTCTCCAATGAGCGCGAATAGCAGGTGGAGAGTGCGATGAGGCTGAAGGAGATGAAGAGCCAGGTAAGTTGGCTGGGTGCTTCGAACATGTCTTTCATGATATTTGCTGCGTCTTCTGAATGATGAAGATCGCCGTACAAGTACTCATGATCTGATCTTCTCGAGTCTGGTATGGATTGCCTACCAAGAAGAATGTCGCATGTGGCAAGTGAGACCAGCCATGGCAGTATTACTAAACAACCAGTAGTGCCAGTCAGCATGATGTGTGTTTGGTGGTGCGATCGACGTCGGAATTTGTTGAATGTGAAGAGTTGTGGCCTAAAAGTTAGAGGGTGCATGTCGACTTTATATGAGATGATGTCTTCGCAAGTCCGCCACCACGAGACATTATCGCGTCCGTCCATGGTTCGGCGGTATCATGACTAAGACAGTAGACCAATCATATTATGGGTCTACGTAATTATAGTGACGAAGCGTTTCCTTCGACCAATGCGCGAATGTGTGATAAACTTACCAACATGGACTAGCGCATTATGGCGGACGCTCCCGAGGTTCTTCTCTCACCAGGTTCTTCAGTCATACGTATCAACTCCCACCGGTCACCACACTACACAACCACAACCAAACTTCAGCCTCACTCCGCAACCATCCCGCGGTCACCATGCAACCAGAAACTACGCACTCACTGCGCCGACTTGGTACCAAACAAGATGCGACAAAGATTGGCTTTATGGATCTACCCGGAGGTAAAGCAGCAACTTTCTAGGTCGATAAATAGCAGTGCGCTGACCTTCGCTCTAGAACTGCGCAACACCATATACTCATACTGCAAGAAATCTGGAGACGAGAGCTTTACTCGCCAATCACCTTTGGTGCATGAGATCGGATATCGAACCTACTTCCATCTCTGCCAGGTCAACTACCAGGTTCGGCAGGAAGCACTTCCGTTGCAATTCCAGCACTTCACACATCGAGTCCCTCTCAGAGACCTCGCCGCCTACATGGAGACATTTGTATTACCGCATAAAGGACACTCCCTGGTCGGTAGTACCTCCTTCACCTTCCGACTCGATCAATTTGTCCCTCGCGTCAACATAGCTCCGCTTATTCGAGTATGCAAAAGGTACCCGGAATTCGCCGTCAGGCTTAGCGCCATTAGCTCTGTCCCCTCTGTCCACTCGCATCGCTTTCCATGGACGCTTAGCAGGCGAGCATTGGATCTCGAAACGCAGTTCCAAAAATTAATCAACAACTCTCGAGTTCGATCTGGCGACTTGAATAGTTCCACTACCTCTCAGCGCCGATGGAGCAAGTTTATCGGGAGATCTGTCGAGGAATTATGGATTCACTCTCACAACAAGCAGCTTGATGTGGATATAACAGTCAAGTCCGAGGTATCTGAACCGTGGATGGACGATATTGCTCAGACCAACCGTCGGACCGGCATCCCTGCTCAGCTTCATCACTACAAGAAGGAATACAAGGCATGGGTATACAAAAATCGGTTTCCAGGGTTCTTGATACAGAATGTAGCCTCTGTGATAAGGTCGGATAGCACCCGAGTTTAACTGCTCAGCAACGACATAC